CGAGCGCAACCTCTCATTCCACTCGGTTGACCTTACCAAGGTCGCGGCCTTCAAGCCTAGGTTAATGCATCAGCTGCTGGACAAGGTTTCCTGGCTTCTGGCCCAGGGCTTCATTCACCCCGTCTTCCCTCTGACCGTCTGCCCCATGGCTGAGATCGAGGCCGCCTTCCGTGCCTTGCAGAGTGGAAAGGCGATGGGTAAAACTGTCGTCGTGCCGAGAGAAGGCGATCAGGTCAAAGCTGTGGTCGCTAAGACGCGCGATGACATTCTCAGAGCTGACGCTACCTACATCGTTATCGGGGGTACCGGTGGTCTTGGTCGAAGCATAGCGAGGTGGATGGCACAGAAGGGCGCTCGCAATATTGTGCTTGCGTCTCGACGCGCCGTTTTAGACACCCCCGTACAGACATTAATGGATGCTCTGCATCCGAGCGGCACAAAAGTAGTCGTGAAGGCTTGTGACGTGAGTAATCGCACGTCCGTCGACGCCATGCTGAAGGACTTGGCCGACCTTCCGCCAATCCGCGGCGTTGTCCATGGTGCAATGGTTCTTCGGGTAAGGCTCCCTTTCTATGCCCACTTTCTTCTGCTGACATCTCCTAGGATACCCTCTTCGAGAACATGCAGCTCGCGGATTTCCAGGCTGTGACGGACAGCAAGGTCTCCGGAGCCTGGAACCTCCACGACGCCCTCGAACCCCACCCTCTTGACTTCTTCATCGTACTCTCTTCTGTCTCCGGTGTGATCGGTAACAAAGGACAAGCAGCCTATGCCGCCGCAAATGTCTTCCTAGACGGCTTCATGGAGTGGCGCCGCAGCCAAGGTCTCCCCGGCACAAGCCTCGCCCTGACGGCGGTAAGGGATGCAGGCTACCTTGCCTCAGTAGACTCCGCGCGCCGGGCAGAGGTCCTGCGCACCATTGGCACAGAGGGCATGACCGAGGCGGAAGTGCTGGCGCTGCTGGCCGCGGCTGTGACAGGCGACCTGGCCCATCAGGCAATCATCGGGCTGGCGTCTTCGACGCGAGAGCCCCTCTGGCCGCAAGACGCCAAATTTGATCTGCTCACTCCTAAGTCTCTTGAAGGTAATGGAGAGACAGCCAACGATGAGATTTCCCTACCGCTGCACGTGCAGATCGCCCACGCAACCTCTAAGGAAGAGAAAGTGCGGATCTGCTACGGGGCTTTGGCGGCCAAGCTGGCTCAGGTACTGGTCTTGAACCAGGACGACATCGAGCCATCGCTTTCTGTATCTGCGCTGGGCCTTGACTCGCTGGTTGCTATTGAGATTAGGAGTTGGATTGCACGCGAGGCGAGGGCTAATGTGCAGGTGTTGGAGCTTCTGTCTACGGGTTCGTTAGGAGCGGTGGCTGAGCTTATTGTGGGTAAGTCGGGGATGTAATCGCTGTTTGTATGATATTATCTTTAGTTCATGAATTGTATAATATGAAACCTTTTGGTATTACTAGAAAGATCTATTGGGAAAGCGTACAGCTTTTGTTTTGCTGATTTTGGGAGTTTAACCGCGACTGAGAAAAGTATACCCTAGTCCGCTAGTATGTAGTCATGTTGATCGTATTCTTACATAGGATTCGGTTCGAAAAAGGGGTAGGACATTTAACATATGGTATACGATAACTCAATTTGAAAATGTAGATGATGAAGAATTGGTTGGGGCATATGCTGTAACAGCCACATACTGGACAAGTTGCGGCCGATGCGGGAATCCTATCCAGGTGCCTGTGGATAGATAAACCCTCAGAGCGAAAGCCCAGCCCGCAGCAACAAAATACAATAACTTAGAATGAGCAGCATATAACCTCTTAATAAGTCTAAACAAGCACATACGACCACAGGGTGTGGAAAACAGGGCTTCCCGTCCGCTCAGCCGTACTTAAGCCACACGCCGGGAGGTTAGTAGTTGGGTGGGTGACCACCAGCGAATCCCTTCTGTTGTATGTTTTTTTCTTGCAATATTCTTTTGATCGTGGTACTAGTGAAATTTCGCATGTCCTTGGCTTATCAACTATGCTGGGCCATTATGTGTTGCCGCAAAAAGTCCATCCGGGTCCCAACGTTGTCGAACCCTCATCAGCCGGCTGCTGTTCTCTTCGCCCCAGTACCACTTGGGATCGTCGTTTAGATCGGAGTCACCCAAATAGTGACCGACTGTGTGTGGCCTTATTCTCTGCATTATGTCTTGCAGATGCTTCTTATATTCCATCGCACCGGTAGCATCCTCACATATCAGATGAATCACAAAATAATGGTTTGCTTGTATCCCTTTAGCCATACCAGTTATCGTGTGTTTACTGCTTGGAAATCTGGGCGTCCAGCCAGCCCACGACTTGCCTTGCGGCAACGTCAAAAATGCTTCCTGGAGCACAGATATAGCATCACCGTCATTGTTCAGCAAGACATTATCAGTGAGGTAGTAGTAGCCGGGTGGGCTGCTTTTCTTGATCGCTGCGTATTGGCTTTTAAGTCTATCTTCCTCACAGAACCACTCGCTAATGGCACCAGAAGGCCGTGTCTCATCGACAATACGAAGAGCCTGCTCAGCGTCCGAGCATGATTTCTCCATCGCAAAAAATTGCACTGTAAGGCTTATGTCGTCGTTCGACTCCGAATGCATGGCCCTTAGGAGTATGTCTATATCCGGGGTTGTTTTTGCTACCATCGATTGCGCCCAAGTGAAGATCTCGCGATACCGATGGCTAGGGTAGACATAGCCGGAGGATCGAACTCCGTCGGCGTGGAAAGGCGATGCTTGTAGGTAAAAATTCGTCACAACACCAGGAAAGGCTGGAGAGAGAATAAGTCCAAGAAGAAAGTATGTGACTAGCGTAACTCACCCGGCCCTGCACCCCTAGCTGCCCAGTAGAGCTCCTGGTTCTGCAGGCGATTGCAGAGAAGAAGCTTGCCATTTGCAGTTACGACTTCCAAAGCTGCAAGGCTTTCACAGGCCCAGCCCATTCTCTATATCCATTAGCAAAAGGCACAAGTGCACCAGAGGCAGAAATACGTACGCGGTAATTCTATCCCGAACCACCCTGTAACATATACCCACCCAGACCGACATCCGGATGATGCGCAGTAGTAAAGAAGAGACCACGCTTATTTAGATATTTACTGATCTCCCCACTTGTCACGGCAGGGGTCGCCCTAGCAATCTTTGTCTCATTGTCGATGTCCAGCTCCTTCCAATATCCCAGGTCAAGCAGGATGGAGTTCGGATGAAGACTCCAGACGGGGTGCGAATGTCCTCCGGCACGTACTGCGACCTGACAACCTTTTTGCTTTGCTAGCTCAATGGTGTTTGTTACGTCATTTGTTGTTCTGGCATGGACAATGGCTAAAGGGTAATATGGTGGTATGTCCTTTGTAAAAATCCCCCGGAGGCGCGCAGTTTCGTAGTCGGCTTCGTCCGTCTTGTCACGCCAGATAACATCCATAGCTCCGCCAGCTGTAAGTGGTACAAATCTAGTAGAGTAGTCGTTATGAGATGCAAAAAATTTACAGTGGAAAATGAGTTAATATGTAGGCAGACAACTCTTGACCAGAATATTCGTGTGACCACAATGGGCGTTTGATAAGACATGACGCTCTGTCTAAATCTGGGTTTTATCTTGGGCTCTTGGGATTGCCACCAACTAACATGTTTGGAAAGTGAAATGGTTGCCATGATAAATAGCGCACGGTTGTACCAGCAGGCCTCAGAAAAAGCATACAACAGTGAAAGTTGATAATTTCACGCAAGAATTGAAGTGGAGAAGAGTGAGGCCAATGCTATTGCCCAACAGCACTGGGGGCCTAGGCGAACGAAGGATGCCCGTAAAGGGTAACAGGCTTTCTATGGGACGGCGAAAATTGCCCAAAATCTTGCCGTAGGCTATACCACGCCTTCTGCGTCACTAAGTAATTGTCTTTGTACAAGAAATGCGATCGAGTAGCATGCCTCACCCAATGGCTGGCGATATCCGCCCCGATGCTCTCTCCCCGAAAAGAGCTCAACTACATGACTACTAAGCCCTTTCCCACCTGAGAACAGCTATATAGCTCATGTACCCATTGATGAGAAGTATCAAGCTCGGAAACACGACGTCTCCATGTGCAGGTCCATCTTTAAAATTATAATGGTTCGTCCTCAATGCCGATTGAAGCATCCATTTTCCCAATGAAGCTAAAGAAATGGGTAAAAACTTCCGAACAATCCCCTGACTGGGCGCATCGAGGCCAGCATATGTCGCGATACAAACTATTGATTTAGGACTATGTCCTACTTGGATTAACTGGAGATTAAAACTCTGTACTCGCATCTATCCAATAAACTCCACATCGGCTGACCTAGATTCAATAGTTTAGAGTTTTGTCTAAAACAGAGTTGAACCCATACGTAGAACAGACCAACATCCAGCAAGATCATCCTTGATTTGGCGAAGATTTGAAGGTCTAAAACTTACACGTCATGTGCGAATCACCAGATGGCGCCGTTTAGCTTTGCTCTATGAGATCCACTTAATCCCAATGAGCCTTGATCTCTCAAGATAAAATGCCACAAACCTCTTAATGGATTTAGTCTACCTTGGATGGCTTCGCATAATGATAGAAAATTTCCGCTCTACATGGGCGGCACGGGATAATACGTAAGATTGGTGTGAGATAATTCAATCCTTCGCTAGTTTCCTGTATACTGCGATCAATGAGTGTGCAATCTACAATGATCTGCGTCTGGGAAAAATAACAAAATGTAGATCCTGGCTTTTTGCTGAGTACACCAGCAATCTGGCCAGTTTTGTGGCTGTATTGCCCAAGACACATGGATTAGATCTGTAATACTATGCTGGTAGTTATGAATAAGTCAAAGGCTAAAATGCTCTGCAGAATAATAAAATAGAGTACAGTAATAAATGAAATTCAATTCTGAAGTCAAGTGGGAGAAGAAAAGGAAGAAGACAAGAATGTAGAGCTCTTTAGTTTGAGATTTGGGGACTTGCCTCTCTATGAAGGAATAGGATATTCTTTTGCATGTCTCCAGGGAAACATATGGAGATTTTGGGCGTTAAGGAGATTGACGTAGAAACTAAAAGCGCTGATCATTGCAAGGAAGACCTCACGTGCCTCCTCCTTGTTAGGGTTCTTCTCAACCTTCTCTTTGATCAATTTGTCAATCCTCTCGTGAATGTCATTGACATATTCCGCTCCTAGATGACCAACAAAATCGGCTATCGATGGAACAAAGTCTCGGAAAAGCGCGATAAGATGCCCCAGGGTAAATTCTGGACGGGTAAACGCCAGCTTAATGATGTTATCGATAACATGGTAACCGAGCGTTCGCACCACACTGTTAGAGAACAACATGGGACCAAAGTATGAATCTTTTGACCCGGGCTTTTCTGGCGCATTACCATAGTGAATTTCCTCAATGTCATCTGAAATATCTGACCAACACTTTTGCGTCTGTGCCATCACCTTTAGCGAGCTGTGCCATCACCTTTAGCGAGCTGTCACCGATCAAATAAACTGGGACATACCTCGGTATGAATCTCCTCAACGAGATTCCTTACCTCCTTACTCACACCAGCCCTCTGATGTTTGAATAAGTCCAGTTCATTGGGATCAGGCTCAGGTTTTGAAGCATCCCAGAGAACCACCTCGATGGGGTGTTTTGTGGTTTCACACTGACATTTCCACACTTCATCCGCAACCCAACGCAGTTTATCCATGTCTTGATCAATAACCCTCCCGCACGTAGCCACCGGCTGGTGCTCGGTTACCTCGCCATACTTGATCACAAAGTGCTGGAATGACGAGATGAATACCGAGCCATCAGGCTCTTTGGCTCTATCAGGGGCCTTCTTATCGGCAGGCGTATACTTTGTGCAGTTAGCGATATGACTCTCGGTCTGATAGGGGGCACTCACGATCAGCTCTTCTAATGGAACCAAGTGATATAGCTGGTCGCCGGCAACAACGGCATGGGTTTGGAGGGAGCGATATGGTAAGGCAGTGCCAAGTAAACCAACCAGTGTTGGGTTCGCATCATTAATCTTCACCGTGATCGTTGTATTAAGCTTAGGCCACTTAACTTTGACCTCACTAGGAGCCTGTGCTGTCGAACCATTGATAATGCGCATGATGAAACGGCAGCAATGTACGCTGCAATTCTACAATCTGAAAGGTATGCTTGAGCCTTAGGTAAGTAGTGTTGATCATTAATTTCGTGCAAGCTTGGTAGTATATATGTGTCTATCATGCACTGTCCCACTAAAAGGGCAATAAATCCTTCAATATGATCATTGTGAGGTCACGAAGCCTTTATCTCCTTACTGCCTGTGAATGCCCTGCGAAATAACAGTGGTCTCATTAGATCTATACGGTCGAATTCCACTCAAGTCTCCGAAGAAAAGCCCGTAACAGGGTCAGTCATAAAGCCCGTGTGATAGAATAGCTGACTATTGTGGCTGGAACCATCGGAATGACGTATTACGGTGGTTATATGGGTCGTGAAGTCATCTATGGCTACTACAGCCCGTTACGATAGGTATACCGTAGCGATTACTTGCTGTTGGGCTACAGTCTATTTTGTGAATATAGGCTACCTTTGTCGCTATTATACCCATCTATAGTGCTTCCTGGTTGATTCCTTACCTACCCTGGCAAGTACATCGTATCACAGCCGGCTATAGTAGGCGATAATATGGAGCTACCGACCACATCATGCTTGGAAGTGGTTCAAGTTTGATACATGCCAGGAGTTCTCAACCTCAGAAATCTTTTCATTTGCCCAATTATCAAGCCAGCTGACAACGTACGCCATCGCACGAGCAAGGCGTGGCCAGGACAGGAAATACTATACATAGAATTCTGTGACGTAGCTAGTTTGTGGACATGTCTAGAGCGGCGAAGACCAAAGGCCTTTGCCATGGCGCTTAAGCCGTGAACGGCATTCAAAAATGCCTTAGTTGACTCAAACCGGTTTTCTATCCCTACGCAGAAATAGTAGACACTGCTCTACTATGCACAGGCATCCTTGCCACTAATTAAGGGGAAAGGATCGAATATGGTGCTTTTCCTTCTCCGGAAACTTGGCAAGGCAAAGGTAAATACATGTCTCCTCCGTCATCTCACGTGACTTGTGGTATGTTTCCTGCGTCACTACATTCTTGAGATACGCAGGTATAATAGATAGAAATGGAAGATTGCCATCTGAAAGCGCGAGACTAGGACGTATGAGACGATCATACTTGCACAATTTGGCGCAATTCAGAGACCAAAAGAAAGAGGCCTATATCTACATAATCCCGGCGGCCAGGTACGAGGAGCTATCATGTTTCACTGCCATCCTCCTGGGATTGAATGCTAGGATGCGTCTGGATCTGACCAATAATTACAAGGCATTGACAAAATCATACGATCGCAGTGCAAGATGTCTGGCGCAAGTACAAATGAAGCGAACGGCGATCCCCATCGACACACATGTCTCGTCCCCTATGTGGACCCCGACACGGCACCTCCAGATATCCAAGCAAAACTCAAAGTGCTACCCTTTCGACGCAATATCCTCCTAACTTTAGCCCATTCTAATGGACTTTTCCCTCATTTCAGCGGTCTACTGGGGGCTTGTTTCGACGGCAACCAGCGCAGTATTCCCGTCCATGAGTGGCAGTTGATAGTACTACGGGTCGGTACTGTTACCAAGGCGAAGTATGAGATTGATGTCAATAAGCCGGTGGCTGAGGTGTTTGGCTTTCCTCAAGAAAAGTTCAACGCTATCGGATGCTCTATCGAAGATGTGATGGAAGGTCGGGGGCCATGGAGTGAACGAGATCGGGTAATTCTCCGCCTCATCGAAGAACAGTTGAGCACTTACGATAATAAGCCGGAAACGGTCAAGGATGCTTTGAAATTGTTGTCCGTTGGGGATGTGGTAGAGGTCCTAATGATTATCGGTGTGTACGCTTTGCTGGCCCGAGTGATAAATGGTCTCAAAGTCGACGAAGACGAGCCGATTCCCGATTTGAAGGAAAAAATCAAGACTGCGATCAGCGGATGAAAGATGCAGTTTGATGGCCCACCTTAGTATTTACGAAGATAGAAAAATCTCCCTTTATTATTTAATGTGCGATAATGATGTAGAGTGAAAAGAACACTAGTAGCCCACCGCACTCGCTTGAGTCCCCGCGGAGTTTCCACGCACAGCTCGGACCAATTAGGTTGCGAGTCATCGTATGTAGGCACTTCAGGCGTATCCTTGGGGGGTCTAATGCATTTTGTCTAGCATAAAAGTACTGCTTTTGGAGTATTGTTGTTCTTCTGGCTCTTAATTTGGCGTCCAAGAGTGTAAACGTTGTGTTAGACCCGAAATGGGAATATTTCGATCAAATAACCCGTTCCCGGTAGGGTTGCATCGTGGATGAGTATCCGAATCACCACCCAGCTGCTACGTACATAGTTCCAGAGTCAATTGCGTATGACTGTGGTAATTGCAATTATGGCGCGCTTTCATTGTACAGCTAACAGCGTCCCGGTTATATCTGTGTAGGCTGGCCTTCTGGACCCAGAGGCCTCCTGCTTTGTTCTCCTTGTCATCTTCGAAAGTTCGGATTCAGACTCCCCAAATATACCTATAACATGACCCCTGCACAGTCTACAATTTATTACTTGTAGATCTCTTCCTTAAGAGCCCCCAAGCATGACGCGCACTCAAAAAAAGATCACCCTTGCTGGAACCACACGACCACTGGAGACCACAGTCGCACTCGTGGCACACTACTCGAAAGGCAGTTATTACATCTTTGAAAACAACGATACATAGTACATTGGGCTCGGCACCTATGTATCTTTGATATTTGATGCACAAGGCCGAACAGCTACCAGGACAAGTAGTGACGGCCAATCAGAATCTACGGCTATCACGGGCTCACCCACAGACCTGATTAGAGATTTTGTCTCCAAGTATTCCAGCCATGGGAAAATATTTGGCCATGTGGGATTTAACTATTCCGCACGGTGCTCCGGCCAAGCTTTCGAACCGGGTCAATGGCCAATGTTGAGCCTCATAGTTCCTAGCGTGCAGGTTACTATTGACCGGAGTAAGGTCACAGTCACGGGAGGTGACGATGAAGATATACGCCGAGCAACCGAGCAGATCAAAAGAATGCTGGAAGCGGAGCTGGCCGAAGACATTGCCCTGCCATCTCCTGTCCCAGGCAAGATAAACCTGAATGTGGATGCAAAGACATATCAGACCCGCGTAGCTAATGCGATCGCGGATATTTCCGAAGCCAAATATACCAAGGCAATCCCATCCAGGAAGGTACCTTTGGACTTTCGGGTTGATATGTTAGCAACACTTCTTCACGGCCGACGGGCCAACAATCCCGCGCGCACGTTCTCCTTCAATCACAACGGCATCCAGGCGACTGGCTTCAGCCCCGAAGTACTTCTTAGCATCAACGGTGAGGATGCCTATACAGAAGCACTGGCCGGAACTCAACTGTCAAACTCCGCCAAAGCCAGCCTCGATCCGTTCGACAATAAACTCCACAATGATACCAAAGAGGTCGCCGAACACGTCATTGCTATCAAAGGCTCTATCCGCCGGTTAAGTAAGCTATGCGAACCAGACTCAATTGCGATCAAGGATTTCATGAAGGTTATGCCGAGAGGAAGCGTACAGCACCTACATTCTCATGTGTGCGGACACCTGAAGCCGGGATGCGATGGTTGGGATGCTCTGCCGGGCCTCATAGCCAATATTACCGTGCCTGGATTACCAGGAGACGGCAACTCGGATGCAATGAAGTCCTTCGAGCCAGACCCGAGGGATCTTTATTGTGGTGCAGTGCTTATGTTGGATGACAGCTCAAAACTGTTTGATGCTACTCTGGTGCTTCGCACAGTATTCCAGGATGAGACTCGGCAATGGTTGCAGGCTGGGGCTGGTGTGACCATCAACTCCAACCCGGAACGCGAATATGCTGAAACATGTGAGAAGCTGGGGAGTGTGGCACCCTTCGTAGTTCCAGCTTCTACTCAGGTTTGAGTATACGGATTAGTTAGGCAGAGAGGTGATCATGGCGAATCCACATCGAAAAAAACTGCTATCCCTCGTGAAAGAGCCAGTGTTATCAAGGAAACATCGATATACCTACATTGCGCTTATCTCCTGGAGCCACTGCAATTCGGACTTCGAACAAGAGCCAAATCCCGTTGAAAGCTGTTGCGACTTGAAGACCCTGTGTGCATAACGTTCATATTCTGCTGGGCTTGGCTTGGTATCAACCCGCTCGCTCATGTATCCGCCTGCTTTTTTGACAAACAAACTAGGTGGCGCTGGAGGGAAACCCGACCTTCTTGTAGCATGAAAATAGATCCCGCGTAGGAGATCGGCCGTACCCTGCGATATAACTAGTGCCCACATATGTTTGTATCCATTCATACGGGTGTTTCGTAGCTAAAAAGTTGAGATATAGGTACGAGCAGTAGCCACATTAACCGAGTCGCCTAACAAATGGGTATTCTCTTACGGTGGGGCAGTAGACATGGTCCGCTCTATAATTCTACTAAAATAGATTCCATTTTGATTAACTCCTGGATTCTTCATCATCTACATTCCCCCCTATGAATAGTATCAAAATACAAAGTACAAGAACGGAAGAGGGATAAATGTTGGCTCTGACATAACTGCTGAATAACAAAGTAAATTACACTCATGTGCTTAATAGTAATTTCTGCTCTTAAAATACATTGTATTTTGAATTTTTGTAACCTCAAGATAATCCTTGTAATCTTCAATAGCTTATTGCATGGATTTCCAGTACCATACAGAAGAGCAAGCCCTTGCAAACCTATATCATCTCATACCTAAAAGCCAGGCCGTGATACTCATTCATGAGCAGCTACTACCTCATATCCGAACATCGACACGAAATTTACGTCACAATGGCAAGCCCAAGCGCCGCTTACCTAGCTTTTCTTGGAGGCGATGCAGAAACAGATACTTTTCTGGATATTTCAATGTATGGTCCACTAGACATCAATAATTACATTATATATTCATTCTTATATAACATATTGAAAACAATTGAATTTTAGATTCCCAGAGATTGTTTTTAATCCGATCTTTATTTTATTATGAAACATTATTAATGTAATAATGCAGGAGACATAGTAGCACCAGACAGCTACGCTGAACGAAAGATTGATCCCATAGATGAATGCTGATTAATTCTTTACTATCACTTATTGTTCTGCTTAAACAGTCCTGACAATGGCAGTTCTGCATGACAGAACATTAGTGGTTAAATGACAGGAGAAGAAAATACAATAAAATATAATTAGTATTAGGGAACCCAACAACATCCTCCTCGACGACAAAGGACAAGGAAATGAACGGCAAAATAGAACAAAGGAAATTAAAACCGTCGAAGTCAAGCGACAGATCGTCCCTATCACATCTAACGTCAAACCATGCAAAACGAGCCTCGTCATATCTAGAGCTCCGCGATTTCTCTGAGACGACGGATGGTGGAGCGGGCAGCGAGAGAGAAAAGGCAAGGGAAAGGGGCGGGTAGCGAGTTGGAGAAAGGAAAAGAATGGAAAAACGGCGCCCCCAGATACCAGGAGCCTTGTGCTTGACGGTGTCGTGTGCTGGGACACTTCCATCCGTGGCGGGGGCAGCGAGAAGGAAAGAGGAAAGGAAAGGAAAAACAGAGCTGCACTTTCAGATACTAATAGCTTTGCGCGTGACGGTGTTCTTTTCGTAGGGCGTGCTGGATACTGCCATCTTCTTGGTGCGCTTCATCATCTTGTCTCTGTGCGGTTGTTGAGCATTGGATTATCGTCTCTTTTCAAGAGCGTCTAGTCTGGCTTCGAACCTGGCCAAAACTGCCAGGATGACGTCGTCTCCTGTTATCGCGGGTGGCTGCTGCGGTTTAGTAGATCGTTCCTGGTCTTGTTGATGCGCGCTTAAACTGTACGGTTTGTCATAATTAATAAACTGATAAAGGAAGTTTTTGTTATTTTCAAGTAAGAGGCTATTGCTATTCTTATTACTGAGCAGTATTTGTTATAGATCAATCGTGTCGGGGTTGAAGTTTATAATATTCTTGAGTAGCGATATGTCCCGCGGTATCTGGGATAATTTGGTAGAGAATACAAGGATGGTAGTCATGGTCATAACCAAGGTCTGGACGATAGGGGGCGAGCCCGACGAGGTCGAATCGTACTTGACCAGGTCTTTGACTTTGAAGGTCTTCGGTATCTCAACTGCCTTGTTAAGAGGCCTGTCAGTGTTGTCAAGAGGTTTGTCAAGAGGACATTCGGTTATTGCAGGAGGCTCGGTGGGAGGTTGATGTTGAAGCGCGAGGCCGTGGTGCGGCTTAGCTTGGTCCGCAGGCTTAGGCTGGACAGGTTGGGGCACTGTGGTGGGTGTTGTGAGGCTGTTGTCTGTCGGTAAGCTAAGCTTATAGTTTAGTATCTTGATTGTGCTTTTTATTCTTTTGATCTTAAAGAGTAATATCGTCGCGACTGGACTGTTATGCTAGATATGGTCTGAAGCGTGTAATAGCAGGTTGTTGTATACAGTACTGATATAATAATATGATTTGTTCATAACTTGGATTCGTGTGTTGTGGAGGGAGTTAGTAAGTATATTTTATTAAATTTGCTGAGCTTGTGAAGTAACTTGTACTTCCAGTTGATATGGGTTTCTTAGAATTCTTGTATTTGTTGATCTGTAGTGATCTGGATTTAGAGTAGGATATGGTATTATATGAAAGTATTACAGGCAAGCTCGGACTTGGATGTATAGTTAGTATATTATAGGAGTAATTGGATACATTTCTCTGCTATTGTTTGGCTGTCTTCTCTAGTATATTTTTGGAGGGAGTGGCCTATCTGGTTCAAGATATACTGGTTTGGCTGCCTGGTTAGTGACGGAGTTTGTATTCTTGGTAATATTATGAAGAAGATTAGTAGTTTAACTGATTCATTTACTGTTAGATTTGAGTTCGGTCTCTTTCAGTATTCTTTGTAGAGGGATATATGGTTTTAAAAATAGTTGGTTATATAACTCTTCCAGTCAAGCTGCATGGATGTCGGAGTGGAGAGGAACTATATTATATTATTTTTTTTCTTATTATGCTTAGAGATGCTTATCTTTTTAGATTTAGACTTTAGATTATTATTGGAGAACTAATAACAGTATTTCTTGGATTCTGGCAGGGTTTTCTTGTAAGTATGCTGATGACTGTATTTTCTTATTATAAATAGGTTTTTGATAATATTTGTGTGTTGTGAAATATAGTTATTAGATTGTCGAATATGATTTTGAAATTATAGAACGCGTTTAGCAGGCCAGTAGGAGTGCTATAGTAAGATTAGATGATATAGAATATATCTCTGATGTAATATTTCAGAGCTAGTATGGTGTGCTGGATGTCGATTGAATGGAGGATAGCTCTGATAAGTTTGGGGAGTTCTGGCTGTAACTACCAGAGTTTATTTTGGGTGTTAACTAAGTGTGTCTGGATTTCGCGGGTTGTTGTTGTACTTGTTGGTTGATAAAATTGTTAGGCTGAATATTGAGGTACTTCGTAAGTCGTTTTTCGTAGGTTTTGGATGATATGGGTGAGGTAGAAGGTAGAAATGATAAGAAATGTGAGGACAGGAAGTGGCAAGAGAGTAAGTGTAGATGTAATATTAAGAGAATATGGTAGTAGAGTTCGGATACGGTGTTGTTTGGCGGTTGCAGTGAATGTAGCTTCACAGTAAATAAGAGATAATGATGGTCAGATAGTATACATGGATTAATGTCTACAATCGCGTAGATAATTGGATCGAAAGGGGTGCTCGTTATTGTATGTTTTGATAATATCTATAATGTCTTATAATTGAGTTAACTAATGGATATTACTGGTTATGTAGTATGGTCTTTAATACGGACATCCAGTGTTATCAGAGGAAACGTGGGAAGATTGCGGAGATTGACAGTTTCCCCCCATTTCTAGAAGAGACTGAGAGCAGTTGCAAAGATGCAATGCATTAAGTTCATCGAGCAAACAACATTTGTGACAGGAGTACGCACAGGGTGCTATATTGATGACAGGTCAAATGTTTCCTCTTATTTGCGTAATGATCCTGTACGACATGAGAACGCCATTCCATTGGCAGCCGGTCCTGAATCTGTTAGATAAGAAGTAGCGGTTACTACTTAGTGTTTGGACTACTAACACACTACCCCTCACACAGAACAGAATAGTGCTAAGATAAGGCACTTATTGCTCAGACAATCCCTGATTCCCTTTTGATGATTGGTAGATATTATTTGACCGTCACAAAGTACCGTGCAGTCAGCACACTGCACCTAATGTAGTATTGGTCTTATCATGTCATCTTTATCAACAGCTAGTCTCGAAGAGGCTGATTACACCTATATTATTTCAACTGTCAAAGTGAGTAATTCAATCACAGTTGAGACCTTAGTAGGGAGCTTTTTAGTAGTAACTTTAGTAGTGCCCCTCGTGGTGGTTTCTGCTAGATTTAACACTCAGCCTATAACTATCTGGATATGAATGGCTTCAAACGTACGGGTAGAACAGCTGGAACATCCGTTCTGAAACTTGTGTGTTTAGTGTGGGTCAGATGCCTAAATAATCCCTTGGGAAGGTAAGGTGACGTGTACAAATAGCCGCTGCTTGTATTGATTGCATGCAAACAAGTGTCTCTACGAAACCTGCGTTTGCATGTCAAACAAAAGTGAAGAGAATTTCCTTATTCTCAGAGCAAAAACAACTCCGTGCGCACATACAGCTTTCTCCCATCCCTCCTTGAGACTGCATGATGTCTATGTTTTCCATCAGAAACCTCGGCACAGCCATCACCAGTACCATGACCGAAGCCCTTTGCTCCTGGCTACTAGCAGTAGCCTGCGTACTTCTGATAGCAAACGCGCTGTACTACTCGCTGTTCCAGGTATGGTCGGGAGTGTCTCTCCTCTTTGACACTACAAACTAACCCGTCCAGAACATTTCCATCAGCAGCATCCGGGTTGTAGTCCGCGACTTCGTACGTAATCGTGTATAAGCAAAGGAGGAAAGCGATCATCTGTTCTGACCAGTCTAGCGAGACCATCGGTACTACCGTCCTTGGGCGCCGAAGCCGATTATGATCCCAGCAAGGAAGAGGATCATGACTGAGCTGAGCGAGACCTCAGTCTTATCTCAGCGAGCTGTCTATTCGGATGTAAGAACAGAGATCTTGCAGTTATGGTATTCATCCGCTCGCGCAGACAAAGCTCTAACGTCGCTAGCTTTTCGGGTTCAAACATACGTTGAACGGCGTAGACCACAACGAGATCAACACGAGGAAGTCGCGTCTTCTTAGCCGAGTTCTGCAGGTACGAGGTCCGACCGAATTCGAGAAACTATACCCGTATCTTCTTCGCAACTTGAAAGCCATCTTAGATGCGGAGCTTTCTTCTGGTACGTTCGCTCTCTGATAATTGGATTCTAGCGTACCTGGCGAGGTATATTGTATCACGGATTAAGCTGACATGTAACGAGGCATTACATCTATTCGTCTGGCTTTATTTGGCGAAACCATCCTCTCACGTCTAATGGGTGTGTGGTTCTTCGGGGAGAACATGGGTTAGTGCATTCCGTGCTCATGACGATATAACGAAAAGACCATTTTGAAGGTTGACAGCTTGTCTACAGCGTCTGACTCGCTCCTTCGAAATGCCCTTCTGAATCACCCTCGCCAAATCAAGGCATGTTCAGCTGCGTTTCAACTAACTCCAAGATTCCTTGCACCGTAAGTTAAAACCCAGCAGTTGCTTTGCGTGTAAATATAATAACTTACTCTACTCAACCAGCCTCGTCCACGCAATAATTACCTGGCGCGGATCGGCAATGCACTTGATCCAAGACAGGCTGATTAACACAATAACTGCTGGGATCGACGACTTAGATGAGAAACCAGAAATCAAGAAGGTCTGTGCCAAGCTTGTGGAAACCCTCCGCAGCATGAGGTCTACCTCGCTAACTAATGTGGTCTACAGTTAACGCTCCTTTACCACATGGTTGACCTATCTGCGGCAGACCGCAGCTACTGGACCCCCGAGAGACTTTCTCAATCAATTCTGGGCCTTTGGCTAGCAGCCTCGCACCAGCCATGGGTAAACCTACATGCAATTCTGGTGGAACTGTGCCTGCGGCCAGAGTGGCAGGATTTGCTTCGAGACGAGGCCCTGCAGAACCAAAGAAATCTCGCAAGGAACATGAATGAGCTACCACTTTTGGATAGTTTCATGCGGGAAACGGCGCGAGTGAATTCCTTGGACAGAGGTAAGTGGATGTCTCAGGTCCTGTTCTGGCCCCTGGGCCCTGGGCGCGTGTGTCTCTAACATATCCCCGCTGGGGCTCTGACTGCAGTCGCCATCCGCCGCAAGGCCCTGAAGGATTATTCATTCTCATCTGCGCCCCTCTCCATTGCGGCCGGTTCAATCCTATGCGTATCCTCGTACGATGTGGCACGCAATGAGCACATATATCCGGACCCCGAGCAATTCGACGGCGGGCGATTCCTTACTGGGCGATGCAAGGATACGTCGAGAAAATTTACCGATGTCTCGGAGAATCACTTGATTTGGGGCTATGGATCTCTCGCTTGGTTCGCTCAATTCTTGTCAATCTGTTTGGGACACGGCACTTACTAACTTGTTTCAATTAGTCCAGGAAGACACCATGCCGCGTTTATGATTAAGATGGTCGTCGTGCATATTGTGACCAACTTCACCCTACAATTGGCAGATCCTGAGGCACCGAGATGGTGGACTTGGGAGGACTTTCGCATGCCCTATGCGTCGACGCGAGTGCTGTTCAGCAAGAGGACGACAAAAACCGATGCCATTTCTTAATTCTCGCGCCGAAACGTGCAGGGTTGGGTATCTTCATGCCATGGATGGCCGAACTGAGCGGGCAAATATTTGTCGGCCACGCTTAATAAGTGGTGATGGTGTGTTAAGGACCTCAAAAGTACGATGAAGGTCGAGCGAGGAGGTATTATGAATTGCTTATTGGGTTAAGAATTTGGAGGGGGTTTTTCGTTGGATGCAAAAGTGCTTGTTGTATTGTGGCTAAGAGAAGGGATCTAGTGAATATTATGAAGGAAAGTAAGTAAGCCAAAACCAACCAGTTGCTGAACACATTATTACTGTAATACTGTAATATCAAACATCAAGATCTGCGCACTTCTACATCGAAAACATCGGATCTGTAGACTCTTCCTCTAGGACGCCATACGCTCAGGGCGAGCCTGCAGCTTCTTGACCAAATCAATGGCAGCCTTTGTGCCCTCATCCAAGCTCTCCTCTGGCAACCCAAGTAGCTCGTTCTGCGCCTTAGACGCGTGATCGCTTGTATCCTCCGGGTAAAACCCTCTTGCGTACAGCATCTTAGCAAAGCCAGCCATGTTACCACCCTTGACCAGTGCTAACCCTTCCTCATACCGCTTCTTAGTACTCTCATGAGTAATCGTCCAGTCGGCGTCCGTAGTACCAGTAACACGCTTCACGCTCTCAAACATCTCCTTCTGGTTCACAAGGAAGCTTTGAAAATAAATTCCCTTGTTCAAGAACGACGATAGAGTAAGACTCTTATCACTTTCATCCTCGGGAAGCTCCTTCAGACTGAGCACCTTCGCCACAGCCCGTCCAATCTGCGACAACGTGGACGTCGAGTTCTTCGTGGTGCCATCATCATAGATGGTCAAAGACCGCTTGTCGAAGTCGAATCCGAAGCGTGACTCGCCGCCAGCCAGGCTATAGTCGTACCAGAATCCACAGCACACTGTGATCCACTGCATACCGAGCCGGGCAATTTCGTCCCGGTGGGCTCGATTGACAGGGCCTAGGAACGTCTCCTCGCCCAACTTAACCTTTTCGATGTCTCCGCCATACCCGTTTGGCATGACGTAGGGGATACCGGCCTTGGCGGCTGCTTGGACGATCTTGCTGTGAGTGTCCCGGGGAGCTGTTGGAGCCATGGTGATGATGAGGAATTGCTGACCCTTCAGGGCAGAAATGATGGTGGCCTCGTCATCGTAGTTAATGTGGGCAATTTGGACGCCTTCGGGAATTTTGTTGGTGCTGTCTGCCCGAGTAAGGGCTGTGACAGTGTGTTTGCCGGTTTTGAGGAGTTCGGTGACGATGTTCAATCCGACAGTACCTCCGGCCTAGAGGCGTGTGTTAGTGTTGCTGTGTATGGGATTGGTAATTGCCTGACTTACTCCGACAATGGCGACTCGCTCGATGGAGTTCTTGAAGCCGGCGGGCTGGTCTTTCGCGTACTTGGCCATTTTCTGCTTTTGGCAACTAGGACGTTGAGTTTGTTTGAGAAGTATAATAATGAAAGAGTTGTGTTTGAGTGAATTGAAGTGCTTGAGCTTGTGAATGAATGCTTGAGATGAAGCGAGGATGAGCGTCTATTTATACATTGGAGCTTCAGCGTCGATCCTTTTACTTCCATCAATTCGCCCCCAAATCAGGCTGCATTCAATTTCAGATCTCGGAAGGCATATCCCCGACGCGGTCGGACTTAAAGGAAGTAGACCCATCGCTGACTGTATTTTGACTGGCTTTGTCCGCTGAGAAGGAACGTAAGGTGGTGAGAAGGTGAGATTCCCGCACAACTCCGCCGCCGCAGCCGCACACTAGCAAAGAGCGGCGATGCGGAGATTACCAATTAACTCCACCATAGCTTGACTATCACCGCAATAGCCGCTCCAACGCCGCTCACGTGCTTGTAACTTCCCCAATTCTCAGTAGGCAGTGTAGCATCCCCTTACGCCCTATGACTACTCGCCAGCGTACACATTTACAGGGCGAAAATCCACATGTCACTTTAGCTAGATACCTCCACCAGGCATCGACAGATACGGCTCAATAAAGAACTGATCCCAGTATAGATCCCAGCTGATGTCAGGCACAGAGACACTGGCCTCTGGTCCCGGTGGTGTCAGACCAAATTGATAGCCTGCCTCGATCGCTTCCAGCTCAGCCAGCTCCTTGCGCTTTCTAGCCGTCTTGAGGCTGAGTAGATGTCGTGCTATTGATAATGCCTCGCGCGTCAGTGTTGTATCGGCCGCCTTGACTAAGTTCTCCAAACCCTTGAAGACAGTGCCGATGTGAGCGGAGGCAATCGGCCTGTCAATAGCCAACAGAACACAAGCAAATTGGAAGACGCTGCCAAGGATGTTCCAGAATAAATGACCCTCGTTAGCGAGCTTCTCGGCTGCCTCAACCCCTGCGTTACCGCAATCAATGACGAGATTGATAAAATCATCTGAGATCCCCGTCTGAGCCTGGTACAGGCGACGATAAAAGCAAAAGGCGATGTCTGCCGCGGTCACCACCAAAAATGGATGTTTGACCTGGAGTTCAGTCACTGCTTTTAGACGTTCAAATAGTTCCTCACTCAGATTCGAAGGCTCCCATTTGAGACGAAACGGGGAGTTCGGGGCTGGGGTAAGTTGGACTAATCGGACGAACTGGTCGGCAACGGACCCTGGTGTTGCTACAAAAGACTGACAAGTCACATAGCGAAAGTTTACAGCAGAACAATCTTGCTCATAGGATAACATATTGTGTCCAGCCCAAGAGACCCAAAAGATTCTCCTCAGTCGGTCGGCATCAAGCCCAAGAACAGCAGAGCCGGCCTTGGATGCCATCTTCTTGATACTCGCTTCGTCGTGCAACCCAACTGTTTCACACAGGTGCATGACGGTACAGGAGGCAATCCAGGCATTCTTGGGGCGGCTTGTGGCGCGAAGGTAGAATGCTCGCATGTCCCATGCGAGTATGTGGTCAATATTTAGCGTGCGTATTGACGATGGATCATCGAGAATCGCCTTAGCGTATCGCACCAGGTCAGTCTCCCGTGCATGTCTGTTGGATGAGAGAAAGGACCCGAGGCAGGCTACGCCAGCAGCCACAGCAGCAAATGCAATGTCTGTGCTAGAAACGCCGTTGTAATATTGGTGACATCGATCGGCGAATATTCTTGGGTCCAAGATGTCGCCGATCGGGTTCATGACAGCGAAATAAACCCCCGCATAGTAGCCGACGTCCTCCTCGGAGATCAGATCTCCGAGAAAGCTGTGGGTGTTTGAAGCCTCGTCTGGTCGGTTGCCAAAGTTGTAGGCGCATGACCGCAATCGCGGAGGACTGTCAGCACCGAGACTAACGCCCAGGACATGTGGAAAAGTCATGGCCGCTGATGCCCCGGTGTATCTGCACTTATTGTCGTCAAAGATTCCAGGTGATGTGCTGGTCACAGTGGCGGGACTTTTTGTCGATGAGCTATTGGCTTCGTGGGAGCCTTGCTCTACGTGTGGCTGGTTGGTCAAACGACTTCTGCCATCAAGGCTGATGCGCTTAGCTTGGGGTGGGACATCAACGCTTTCTCCCACAGTTCCTGTCAGGTCCTTGTCGTATCTGCAGTTATAGTCGTAAGTGGTACACATGCTGCAAGGATATTGGTTGTCGCATTTCCGTTTCCGCTGGTGGCATGGAATGCAGGCCTTCCTTGCACGCTTACGCTTGGAGGTCGTCGACATGACGGATAAGAGGGTACAAGCTCCACGGCCTCCGATCTAAGACGCACGACTGTAATTCTAGCGTACTTTTCTTACGCACGCAACTCCCAGCGGTCGAGTTGCGTGGTAGATTTAGCTATTGCTATGGAACAGCTCATAAGCTTAGATAGTAAGCGATGTGAAAGGTTCCGTGGTCGGCTGACGGCACGTGACTACAGGGGCTGTAATTGATGCCTCAGGCACAGACCGCATATATGCTGCCCAAGGCAGTGAAATCAATTATAGATAATGGCCCGAAAGTATTTTTCCTGGTGTCTACATGGAGAAGAAAATAGTTAATTTAACTAAAACGGTATGGCTATACAGAGACACACTCCTGGGTTAGTCACTCAGATCAAAACACTCGGAGGCGGAGGTGATCAAGAAGTTATAACTGTCGCTTCACTTTTCCTGCGTCAAACCCTCATTGTCCTCCTGAGTATTTTTCTAAAACCCATATAGAATGAGGAGATACACCGTAGAGCTAGGACACCATAGCTGAGCTTCCCAAGCCCGTCTTCATCAGTGAGCCTCTCTCCACAGCTTGCTTTTCAACAGCAGTGTAATTCGGGCTAATGCACATCCAGCATACCAGACAAGGCTGTATCCATTCCAGGCTCCAACTTATATTCGAGAGATAAGTAACTCTGTTGCAATGTCTGATAAAAGCTTTGCGTTCTTAGGGAGACACCAGTATCGTCTGTTGACTATGATAATTGCCACGTCTACATCCCAGAAAACAGGGTTTAATGCCTTATGAAACAGGACAGGACTACGATACATACTCACTTTCGAGCAAGGAGTATTATATCAGGCCATCTTAACCAGACTCACAACCTTTATCAGCATCGCCATCGCAGAGTCCAAGGAACAATAACAAAAAATTATCCCCAAGTACTAAGGTAAGTTCTCACAGGGTGAGAATTGGGATGAGGGACCCCATTACATCTCGAAGACCTGTACATATAAAGAACGAACAAACCCTTGCAGTTCCCCGTATGCACTAACCCGTTACTCGTCCTTTTTTCCAGGTTGGACCAGAGTAGTCTGGCTTATAGGAACAAACACGCCATCCCCCTCGAAAGGCCTCTCCGCCGGTAGGTTCTCATCACCAGGCAGTTCGACATGTTTGAGCTGCTTCATTTTCAGTGCTCCATATCCTTCCTCTTCGGGAACGCGCAAAATCGCCGGCCACTTCTTGGGCTTTGTTAGTCACTCATTAAGTCGCCGATGTAGTAATGACTCTTTGATGTAATAATATACCCCATTTCTCCACTATTGGCAGTTGTTACTAAGGCCAGAGTAGGATCTGTTATCCTATAGTAGCAACCTTGCCAACTCTGCTACCCAGGCGGAAATAGTACTCAAATGCTCTGGGGTCGTCTGTCCATCCTGGAGCCACTTCACATTAGCTCTAGATAGAAACGATCAATTAGAATAGATAGGTTTGAGGACGAGATTTATGGATTTCTGGAAGGGTAAACTTACGTATTTCTCCGCATTTCTCTTTGTCCACTGGGTTAGTGTAACTCGAGTGCGGAGTTGGAGCCATCCAAGGAGTGTTTGGCCTTATAGTTTGAGAAGCGGAGCTACCAACAAATGCCAGGAGTTGGGTGAGATACTGTTGATATTTGACATAACACAAGCTCTTAGGTTGAGAAGATTGATACTTATATTGTGATTACTTGAATTAGACACAGGAATATGTCTCAATCTACTTTTCTTAACATAAATCTACCACTTGTTTATATATCATTAAATCATTTCTTTAAATTAAATATAATTATTATCATTGTCCTATCCCCACTGTCTGTACAGCTTCAGTTGTTTTGACGGGATAGAGAGTCTTCAGTACACTGGTTGACACCATCAATGCTCTCCGCTTTTCCAGAAAATATCATGCGCTTCGCACACTACCAAGACTACGAGGGCTACAAGCATAGGAATATGAATGAAAGAACGAACTACGAGAGCTTCTGTTAATCAACCAACAGAAGCGGAGTCAGGTTTGGTCGTAAATGGACTAGAAGCGCCTGGCAGAGCCTGGTGGTGGTGTAATGGGATGTAATGGTATTCAAGTAGTAAATTCAATATGACCAACATTTGCGTCAAGATTCAATCACAGTTGACTCAGCCGAACCGTGCACCTGTTTTTTTTTTCCAATGTCCTTTCTGTAGCCGGTCTCTCTATCTCAGTTCAACGTTGGCCTTATCCGGAAGAATTCGAGGTTTGCCTGCGCTTTGGCGACAACTTTTCTCTCATCAACAAAGACGCTCCCAAAATGGATAGACAAAGCTCAACGCCGAACCCCTCCCACATCTCAGACCAGCAGACGGCCGAGGCCGCTGGGTTGCATGTAAGGCAGAGCAACCTACGCATGGAATTACTCGAATTATCCAGTCTAATTAAAGGTGTCTTCATAGAACTATCGTGAAGTGGTTCCAGGAAGGACCGACGATCCCAGAGCTCTTTCGCATTTCTTCTATCCCGGTAGCTCAGAATGGTACCTGGCCCGCCAATATGGAATAAGGGATGCTACAGTGGTATTAGTCGGAACGAACCAGAGTGGTGAAATGCAGTATATAATCACGGCTAATGGGCATTATTATTGGGGCCACCTGATGCTGGATGAGATCTTCGAAATAAGTAGACCCACGACATGGCCAAACATTCTACGCGTAATGGAAGAGAAAGGGGTGGAAAAGGTGGGGATGAGGAAGCTTAAGGCTGTCGAGATACCAGAGGAAAGAGATACACTGGTGCCCGACGTTCCAGAGGGTGAAAATTTGTATCTTCCATATGACCATGACGCTCCTTCCAAGTCTGCCATACCAGAATGAAATAGGTTGATCGCACCCATAGCAGCCCTAGCAATCGTAGACACATAGATGATCGTTCCTCAAATCAAAGAAGCCCTTCTAAGTGTGGTTCAAAAATTGGCCCCCAGGGATGTATCTTGCAATATGATGTGGTCTCAAAGTTGTCTTAGTACGCCTAGTAATAACTCCAGAGACTTGGGTTTTACTACATCATCAAATCATCAAGTCAACAGCTGGGCCAGATAATCTGGGTGCCCTCGCTTACGGGTGTGGATGGGCTCTCAAAATCAGGGGTCTCTAAGTTGGTTCATGAGCCGGAGGACGGACTGCCTTAAGACGATGGGTTGCCTGAGTCAAAAATGCTCTGTGGCTAGTTGGAAATGATGCTCCTGCCAGTGCTGACCAAGAGTCAAGCAGAACTTCCCTTGCTCGCCGGCCTAAGATCTTGGACTACTATGTTCCCGAGCTAGGTAGTCAACAATAACGCCCTTAGGGTGCAATCATTCCCTCGCACCTCTCAGGGGGTCAACATGATTCTTCAGTGACACATCGGGCCGGTTGAAACACCCGAGCGCCGCAAGGATTTAGTTCTTTTACTTCAGCAAATTCATCTTATTCCTTGGTGCTTTTCCTAGTCATCTTCACGTTTCCCAAAAATACCCCAACGCATTGAGGACTCACCCGCGAACTGCGCGAGACGAACCAGAATTCACCATCAGCACAACTTCACTCCGACCTCACCTTTCATTCAGCTCCATTTCACTCCTTTCGTCTCTCTCCTACCTTACTTCTCTCTCTCTCATTCAGCACCATGCCAACCAAACCCCAGGTAAGCCCCATTCCACCCCACACCGACAAACACCCCACCGACCTAACACAACGTCCCAGACTCCCTCCAAGGAACCCGAGCCCATCCCCGAAGGATGGACAGATAACCCCTTTTACGTGCAAGCCGAACAGGAAAATGGATTCGCATACGCCTACGGACTCACCAACGTCTCGGTGCTATTACCGCAAGGCCCTGACAGCAGAGAGCACGGATTCATATGCTCTTCTAACGGTCGCTATTATCTGGGGGATGAAATGGCCTATTGCATGCTTGAGATTACAAAGCCTACAACGTATTCAGGAATATTGCATGTTGTAAATACCAAGGGGGAGAACGGGTTAAAGATGAAATCGCTTAAGATGGTCCCCTATGCGGAGCAGCCGGAATCTGGGCCTGGTGATCTTTGGCCAGGAACGGGTGCTGTAAGACGTGTGCCAAGTTACGTGCTGCCAATTCTTAATTCAATGGAAACCTTGATGGGGTTGGTTGTTGTGATGACGTTTTTCAAGTCTTTTGGGATAGGCTATGATGTAGGTTGGGGCTCGGCTTTGAGATAAGATAGATCGTGCTAGCTTTATGCGGTTAGTAGATCACCGAAAGTAGACTAGTGGATGTGGTGCTTGGCGTGCGTCATCTTGACGGGGGGTGATTCAACCACTCGATTTACTTCATTCCTGAGTATAAAGTAACTCATGTTAACTATCCTCCATCATGTTCTCCCAATCTACCAATCAATTACACCTCTTCTTTGCCATTGAACTCTTCACTCCTCTCTAACACAACCCAAACCACCGCAATCATGATGAACAGATCCCCCAGAGTCGCTACCCGCTGTCTGCGACAGCAGCGCCTCCGCCAATCGGCCGGTCGCTACCGTAACGCTCGATTCCAATCCTCCTCCTCCTCTTCCTCTTCCTCCGGCTCCACGGGCACCGGCAGCAGCAATCCCGCCCTGATCGGAGGTCTCAGCGGCGGTCTCGTCGCCATCGTCACCGGCTACACATGGTACCATCTTTCCGGGGCTCGCAAAGCCGTCAAAACTATGAAACAGACCCAGGTCTACGCCGACCAAGTGAAGCAAGGCATTATCCAGAACGCCCCGGAGCCCGACAAGGCGCTGAACTGGCTGCGGGATACCCTTAAGAGCTATGCGGTGTTGCTCCCGGGAGCAGGCAAACACATTGATGCTGCGTTCGACGATCTGGAGAAAGTGAAGCAACGGCATGGGCCTGAGGTGGATAGCATCGTGCGGGATGCGTATAAAGAGCTGAAGGCGCTGGGAAGTAAAGGTGGTGCCAATGCGGATACCGCCATTCAGGCATTGCAGGTGCTGCAGAAGAGTTTGACGCGGTTGATGGAGCTGTCTGGTGATGCTGCCGGGGATATTTTGGATAACCACCCGTGGTTGCAGGAGAAGGTTGGTGGCGGGTGGAAGCAGTTGAAGGAGATGGGGGATGCGTATGGGCCGCAGGCGAAGGAGGAGGTGGATAAGACGAGGGAGCAGCTTGCTGGGGTGGCGAAGAAAGGATTCAGTCTTGCGTCGGTGGAGGAGGTGCGCAAGTTGATTCAGGAGAAGTCCGAGAAGTTGCAGAAGCTTGGGGATGAGATGTGGCAGAAGGGGCTGGAGGAGAGTAAGCAGTATTTGGATAAGAATCCGAAGGTGAAGGAGCTCGTGGAGAATAACGCGGAGGCGCTGAAGAAGGGAAATGTGAGTGAGTTGTGGGGTATGGTGAAGGAGGCTGCGTCGTCGGGGAAGACGGAGCAGGTGGAGAAATATGTCAAGGAGAAGGTCGACCAGGCGCAGCAGAGCGGGTCTTTTGATCTGAGCAAGTGGGCGGATATGGTGCCGGGAGGATCTAATGTCCTGGGCCAATTGCAGTCTCTTCGGACGCTGCAGGAGAAGAAGGGCAAGGAGGCAGAGAATGTCCTCAAGGAGACCATGGATGAGATCCAAGAGGTCTTGAAGAAGAGAAAGGAGCAGATGGAGAAGCTTGCCAGTGAGGCGAAGAAGGATAACTAGTTAGTCCTTGATGTATATGTGAGATGAAGTACCATCAGTCGATGATTAGATCTAATAATATATGTCTAGAAACATTTGATAAGAAAGACTTCTAATTTTTGTGTCGGTTGAGGAATTCACGACTTGACGTCAGTACGCCTTGTACACCCTTAGCAATTTCGAACCGTCCGTCATACAGTGGGTAGACCACAACAGCGAAAAAGGCACAGAATTGCCAGATGATCGCGACCGTGGTCCATCCGGAGAAGAAGGATTTGGTGAAGATATAGTCGCGATAAAGCGGCATTGGCCACAGCACAAAGGTAATCAGCACCAAGACCACAAACATCGCCCATGCGATCCATGACCATCGATGCAGCTTTCGCAGGGTATCTTCTGTGAAAGGGTGACGAACGTCATCTAGACTGAGGCGGCTCGGGGTTGACGTCGGGCTGGCATCCGTCGAGATATAGACCCCTTCAACCTTAGTCTCTTGAGTTGCAGCGGGCGTGGCTCTAGTCGGTGCTTCATCTGCGAGTTCGATTCTGAGGAACTCTCGCCAGTCAAATGTGTACGGGCGATATAGAGAAATTACCACGGAGTAGAGAGCGGGTGAGAAGAAAGACCCGATGGCACCATAGAGTGCGGGCAGCTCTTCTCCAGTTGTGGTCATGTTCACGGCCCCATACATTGACTTGGCCGTTGCGAGCCAGATCGCAAGACCAGTAAAGAAGCCAAGCACCGGCGATAGGATAGCCGCCAGGCGGGTCTGACGGGACCAGAACAGAGTCAACCCGAGAGGAATGATTCCGGGACAAGACAGGATAGGCCGGAAGTAACCGATCCACGTCATGTTGGCGCCCCCGTAGTTAAGAGCAATGGAAATGCCAGTGATGAAGATCGCATGGAATACGACAGTTATGTGGCTAACTCCCAAGAGCCGGCGGTCACTGGCTTGGGGGTTGATGTACGTCTTGTACATATCAAACGACAGGATACTGCTGACGGCGATCATTGACGAGGAGACCGTGCTGGTCAGTGCCATGAACAAGAGAACAAAGAAGGCGATCATTCCAGACTCTCCAAGAAGGGCCTTGACCAGGTAGGGCATGACCATGCCTTTGCTGACCTCAGTTGTCGTGATATCAATAGGATAGGTGGGCCAGAGAGGAGTGTGGTGGAGCGCTCGAGCGGTCAGGCCAATAACAGTGCCTAAGCCCCAGGGGATACCAAACACAGCTATTGCGGCCAGGTTGTATGCCGGCACGGTAGAATTCACTTCACTGGCAAAAGACTTTTGCCAGAACGCGGTGTCCTAAATGCGAGTGAGTCTGATTGTCTGCCATATAACTGGGGGAAAGGAAGAATGAGCCTACCATGACCACCAGAGCTAAGTTACCAAACTTCAAGATTAAGCCCCAAATAATCGCCCCTTTTGATTTCATCGTGAGAAGCGATCCCTCGAAGTTACCGGAGATATAATTCTCGCTCGCTGTTGCGACCACCTTGTCGTATAGTCCAGCCAACCCGCCAACTTCGGGGTGAGTAAGGACTGAGAGTGTGAAATAAATGATCAGGATTAAGGCGACTGTGGTATGCAAAAAGTCGGTCAAAAACGTCGCTTTCAGCCCTCCAACAGCCGTGTAAAGAACAACTTTGCCATTGTTCGTCAGTATAATACCCTGTGATATGCGATGACCCAAGCTTACCTCCCAAAGGAATCAGGATGGTTGCCGCAACGAAGTTCATGCCCGAAACACCGTTTATCAGCTGGGACCCGGTCAAGATCATCGAGGCACAACCAAAAACGTTGTTTGTCAGATTCAAAACCATGTAGATGACATGTCCGATCCAGCCATATCGCATACGAGTGATCTCAAGCGACGTATGGGCATACGGAACCCGGATCTTGGCCATGACACCAAGAGCAGCCATCAAGGCGATCTGAAAACAAAGACCCGATCCCCACCACTGTACGAACAGTCAAATCAGCATCTGTCATAAAATTAAAAGAGAGCCTGCTGACATACCAGTGGAACTGCCAATCCATAGCGATAACACATCGCAGCCGATAGCACCGTCTCGTTGATCCACATCCACGAGGAGAACACAGCAGATGCAGTCAAACCCGTACCGACCGATCGATTTGCGACCATGAACATCTCTGACGTACCCGAGTCTTCAGACAGATACGCCTTCTGCACCTTGATTGCGATGAGAATCACCCCGCAGAAGAACACACCAAGACCGATGAGGAGGCCGTAGGCCGTCCCTTGCGTAACAAGTTCGACAGCCGCCATGTTGACCAATGCGTTACGCGTCAAAAGTTACCATCAACCTCGGGTTGCCGATAAAGTTGCATCGACGCCAGGTATTCTGTCTTAAGTATCTGCCGGATGAGCATCATGCTTGGCCGCTCGCCGATAACCGTCAGTGTCACGCTGTTCTTGGCTATGATGGCGTTATACATAACCCGGCCGAGAAGAAGGCGGGGAACCTACAAGGATGCAGCTGTGAGCCGCTTGATACGGCATTTACTTCGTGGTGGATAATCTGGGTTGCTAGACACAGATTGAGAGGCCCTTTGCTGGTGGGAGGGGATATGGCGTGCGCCATGCCGCCGATGGCAACACCAGCGGGAGGGGATCTGATAGGCTTTGTCGACCAGTAGCGTATCTAAGACGACCTAGACCCTACCTTGAATTGGCTGGCCAGGAGTGAAGATCCAAGCACCCAATGATGCAGGAGGATCACGCATGCTGGGCTCTTCACCTCGACTTCTCTTGTGCTTCCGTTGTAGCCTGAGGCAGAAATTAACGTATAATGGGTGACAGCGACCGGCAGATTGCAAGGTAACATACAATTCCGCAATATGTAGCATGATTGGAAACAGGATTAAGGACTGTAAAACTGTCAAGCCTAGCCTTTCAAACCGACCGAGTCCATCTATAACGGGGGCGCCTCTGTGCGGTGAAACTATCAAAGCAACAAAAGAACTCCATAGGAGTTAGTGATTCATCTAACATTCCAAGAATAGCGGATGCTCGTAGCTGGACTTTGGCTTTTATGTGTCACCAATCGGTGTGGAGTGCGTACAGATCCCCAGCTTCAGCTGGGGGAGAGTACTTGATTGTTATGAGTTCGCACTTAAGGTTTTGGTAAAGCTACACAAAGAACGAGATTGCAGCCTGGTTAGTAAGGCACTAAGAAGGGTCGGGCGGGGTTTCTCCGGCCACTAGTCCGATAGACTGTCACTTGTCTGTTATCTTATCGCCGCTGCCTTTATCACTAACTTTTACTCCTTTGAAGCGCACCATCGAGTAAAATTTCCCCTGTCTGATATGGTTTTTGCTAATTCTATACTGTTAGTTTTGGTAGTGATCGTAACTAATTCTATTAGAACCGAAACATATCACAGACTAAAGCTCAAATACTACGGAAGCTGTAGCATCATCGTCATCATGATGCTCTTGTAGGATCATCAAGGTGAAATGAGTTCAAAATATATAGAGCGTAGTCTGAGTGTGCCACACTTGCGTTCACAGAGCAATTTTCGAAGACCATTCCTATGTAAAACGACTCGACCGAATCAACCAAACAACTCCACTGAAAACTAAGAGCCAATCAAATTCGGACTTTGCTAGCATCGATTTAGCCACTATGTTCTTGTATGCTTTCTCACCAACTGCACACCCAGTACAGAGCACTCTGCGTGAAAGGTCGGAGGCTCTTAGAGGTAATGAATCGAGTTCTATACATGAATTGAACTGTAATTCTCAAAGCCACCATCTTGTCGCTGAGGACGTCAATTTGGCCAATAGAGCTGATCAGTAGTCCGCCGGCGATTGGGCGAAGGGGAGGTGAGGGTGTGACAAGGGGGTGTGGTATGCTAGTATGATATAGGTTCACGGAACCATGGACGGTAGGACTGCAAATAAGCGAGGGATATGTAGTGACAATTTAAACCCATACTCTTTGAACTCTCACGTGTACTGACTGTTTTGCACTACGCCTCTCCCAACCAGGTCGATGACCCTACTCGGCAAGACTACAATATATGCGTAGAGGCATGTAATTCACGATGAGGGACGAGACGCAGTAGAACAACCAAGTAGGTATCTCTCTCAATTTGGAACGCGGTAACATTATAGTCTCCGAGATAGACGCGCGGTCTACTGCTTAGCAATGACACTAAATCTGACAGCTAGCCAAGAAAAGAGGGGGAGGGGCAATAACCGCCGATCATCGGTGCTTGTTGCATTCTAGATGTCATCTTCTCAAGATTCTAATCTAATCTCTATCATCATCTCTATGACTACCTCACATATTAAATAATTTCTAGTTCACTCTAGCGTAATCTAAGTAGACGCCGCAACTGCCTTCTCCACGACTGCCGCAATCTTCCCCACCAGCATCTCCGGCTGGCTCAGCATCGGCGAATGACCCGCGCTACAGCGATCAATCTCCGCCCGAGCCAACTTGGCAAATCCGCCCTGAAATGCGACAGGTGCGGCCTGATCACCCTCACAGATGAGATAAGTAGATGGCAGGTACTCGTACGCCGCACGAGTCGTGGGCGTGGTTTGTACCAAGTGAGATTGCGGAATGAGGCGCGATTCCCACAGGGCTGCTTCGGCGTCCGGGAGATCGCTGTACAGAATTTCGGCCCCGTTGGTGATACGGAAACGGCCGTCCGACTAAGAGCAAAAGAATTAGGTTGGTCCTTGGTCTTTTAGTGGATTAATGAAAAACGTACAGTCACATAGTTGTTCGGCGACTCGCCAAATGTCCCCATGACGGATGCACCCTCGGGTAGAACAAAGGCAGCGTAGTAGAACAGATGTAAAACGCCGCCCTTTTTGCCCTCTGCTTGACGGGAAGTGTAGGCGAGGGATTGAGGAATAGCGGTACTACCCACAATGCCGCCATAAGAATGCATGACAACGACGACGGATGTTCCCTCCTTTTCTATGAGCTGCTGTAGGGTTTCGGTGACGGTGCGTGCGTCATCCTCCATTGTG